TCACAACACTGTTACTGACTGAAAACTAAAAGAGTTTCACAACACTGTCATGAAGTGCTTAAAGCATCTCATTTTCAAATTAGCAAAAAATGTATTAATTATAGTGGCAGGCCTGACTAAACAAACCAGTTATACCATCCTGAGCACTAATGCAAGGTCATGTGATCTTCTCTGCTCAAACAAAGGCTTGCAAAATTCTGATGTACATGTAATGCTATTCCTACACTTGAAGAACCACTGTCTATAATATATAAATAGTGAATTGCATTTCAAATAAAAAATATTCAGCACATATCAGAAACCCAGTGTTAGGTCTTAGTTTACTTTTGTAGCTGATAGCGACTAGGGAACATGTAATAGTGGTATGAGAAACCCTCCAGAAAAGCAACGTGTGTGTATGCATTTAATCAGAATAGAGGCAGAGTGATAAAAATAAGGGTAAAAGAGACTTTGTGGGTCTTGTAATTCAAGTCTTTTAGAAATCTCCAAGGAAGATTCTAAAACCTCTATATTAACTTGTTTCATTGCTGAACTGCTCTTTCTAGAGTTTAATTTAAAACTATGACCTTGCAGTTTAAACCCTATGGCTGAGATCCAAATAACTGTGCCCATAGTTCTATGTAACCTAGAAGGCTTTAAGCTTTTGTTTGTCAAACCTCCGTCCCATTAATAGACAGGGTTTTGACCCCCCCCCCCCGGCAAAGTTCAGGAACAATTGGGCACAAAGTTCAGGAACAATTGGGCACAAATCCAACTGACCTGAATCACCTCTGGACTACATAGGTTCCATTCCGGAAAACCAGATGCAGCAAGGCAGAGATTCCAAGACTCAGTGCAGATAACTGAACCAGATATTTTTTAAAAAACCTGTGTGGGGTTCTTGCTTATTGGAGAGATGGTTTTACCTTTAAACACGCTTTGTGTACCTAAACTTGGTAGATTTCTGCTGCCACCAGGAATTAAAAATTCCAAATTTCTCTCTCTGCTGGTAGAATAACCTAGGGTCTGGGCACTTCAGAGGACTATGTGGCCCGGAGGAAGAACTGTACGGATTGCTGGGATAAGCTTAAATAAAAATTGATTTATTTAATAAAGAACAATAAAGATTTATTTAATAAAGATTTATTTAATAAAGAGCAGACGTCAAACAGTGGCTATTAGCCACAAGGTATAGATAGGGGCTCTGGGGCTAGTGATGCTTGGTCTTCTTGGTGCTTGGGGGGGGGGGCAACAGTGGGAGGACTTCTAATGACCTGGCCCCACTGGTGGACCTCCTGATGGCACCTGGTATTTTTGGCCACTGTGTGACAGAGTGTTGGATTAGATGGGCCTTTGGCCTGATCCAACATTGGCGTCTCTCATGTTCTTATGTTCTTAACAAAATAGGTTTTTGGTTATTTTGAACTGTTACTGGGGGAGGGGGGAAACTTGTAAATATAACTGGCAAAACTTGGTGTTACAGTGACTCAGACTTCACTCTGACAGACATAGACTCTCAGTATAATTTTTCTCTTTCTCTCTCATACATATACATATATAGCCAAACAGGCTAATCTCCTTGTCTTATTCACCCAGAACAGAATCAGCTCTTATTCACACAGAATAGAAGCAAAATTCCATAGTCACACAGACCATGCTGTCTCTTCAAACTTCACACACAGAACTCTGTCATAAAACATCTCTCCTCTCACTCTCAGTCATCAGCCAATCACAGCACACTCATCTCTCCCTATCACTCTCCTTACATTACTGCAGTCAAACACAACATTTAAAGACACACACACACCAAAACATGGAATCATTACACTCTGCTTATTTGCTATTTTTATTGTTTGTTCTGCTAATTTTATACTATGGAAACTACAAAGTTTTTTTTTAAGTCTGCAAACTGACTATGACATTGTTCCATGTAAACATTTGTTCAGGTTTTTTTTCTCTGCAAGAGGAGAGAATTCATGAACATTTTAAAAAGATCTTTTATCTTTGTTAGCTCCTTTGATAATTAGTTAATGCTTATAGAAATGGGGTAAACATTTATTTAAATTAACACAAGAGTCAAGTGTCCCTAGAGATGAAATTAGTTTTATACAATTTTTTTAAATTTCAAGAATAAGAGATATTGGGAAACATTATTTAACCTGCCCTGAGCTAATTGCCTTTTAACACATTATTTTAAAAAACGTTAGTGGTTTATTTAATAGATACAAGCCATAAACAATTATTTAAAGATCTATAAATTGTGGGATATAATTATCTGAATGGGCTATTTCAAAAATTTTAGGCAACCCATTGCAATTCTGATTAACCAGCCCACTTCATCCTATTGTTTCCATGCACCCAGTACTCCTGACAAATGATCAAGGTTTTAGTCCAGACAGAACTGCCCCAAGTCTCAAAGGGGGGGACTGTGGCAGAATTATAAGTGAGATGGAGCAGTTCTGTACAGCAGCCTGAATTGGCATAGGCCTCTCTGTTTGGTTCTTCTGCAGGAAGCTCCTGAGCCTGACAATGCACTCTGCTCTAAAAGATAACTGTTTACATTTCTGAGTTCCAGCCTCAAAGCCAAAACATAGATATGATAACCTGTGGCTCCAAGCTCCTGCCTTGACAGGGAGGGTGTTTTTAACCTAATAATACAATTACCCCAGTCAAGATTCTTCTGGTCAGAAAAGGGAGGGGTCTGGGTTTCATCATGACCATCCAATTTCTTGATTGACAGCTAATCTGGATTTAAAGATATTTAACACCAGTGTTTGAGATGCTAAGAGCTCCTCTACCAACACCATAGTTAGGTTTTGCCAGTGGCTGGAATGCATCCCTAAATCTATATACTAATAGCCAAGATGCCCCCTCTGTGCGGATATCCAAATCCGCACATTGGGGGCACTTGGGGGGGGCAAAAGTTAAAAAAAACTATATGGGGATATGTAAATCTCCCCAAGTTAAAAAAAGGGTTCCTTGCGCATGCACAGAGAATGCACTGAGAACAGTGCCTTGTGGCCATTGCCTGGGGGGAGGCTTGGCAGGCCTGGCGGCTAGGAGCTGCTCGGGCCTCAGTGCCGGGGGGAAGGGAAGCTTGGCGGGTCCGGCAGCTGGGAACTGCTTGGGCCTCGCCACCGGTGCCGGGGGGAGAGCTTACCTGTGGCCACTTCCTCCTGAGCCCTGAGGTCCTCCTGCTTCCGCAGGCTGGGAGCCATGGGGAATACTCCCCCCCGCGATTATTGCGGGTCCCTCTTCTTGTAGATAATAATTTCTAAATGAATAGTGTACACTGTTTATGTATTGGTTTGTGTTTTCCCTTCTGTAAGATGACTACTGAAATTGCTACTTGCTTGAAAATGTGTGCAGTATAGTTTTCTTTCAGTAAATCAGATATTTTGGAACAGGTTCTCTCTCTCTCTGTGGGGTTCCTGCCAGTTTCATGTACACCTCCCCCCCATCAAGCTAGATGTGGATGGGATTCCTAGGAAAAGCTCATGGACTCTTAATTCCCCCAACACCTCACAGGGTTATTGTTAGAATAAAATGAAGGAGAGATGATTGGCCCCAATGGGGAGAAAGGCAGGGTATAAGTGAAATAATAAATAAGTATATTTATTGTGTTCAATAAAACACCATCAACAAACCATTCTTTGAGGCTCTGTACTGTCTGTATATCTTTGAGGCTCTGTACTGTCTGTATGTCCTGCCAACCTAGCAGTTTGAAAGCAAGAAATTGCAAGTAGATAAATAGGTACCACTTTGGTAGGAAGGTAACAGCGTTCCGTGCGCCTTGGTGTTTAGTCATGCCGGCCACATGCCCACGGAAACGTCTTCGGACAGCGCTGGCTCTTCGGCTTTGAAACGGAGATGAACTGGCTTTCAAGCAAGGGAACCTTTACCTTTTTACTATCGGTAAGTATATCTTTGAGGCTCTGTACTATCTGTATATCTACATACAGTGAGTTCTTCAAAGAGAAATACCTTGAATTTAACCTAACATTCAGGATGTTTACAGTCTCCAAATTACTTGACACAGTTTTTTAATTACTTCATGACACTACTTAGAAATATAATAATATACTCACATTACAATCCAACGTGCTGTTGCAATGACACAAAATTGTCACGTTTTAGAACACAGCACCTGACTTCTATAAGTCATCACATTTCATTACACTACTCACAAAAATTTTCATAAAATCTTAAAAGCATTAATGCTGCAATCCTCTACACATTTCCTAACGTGCACATTCCGAATCAGTGCAGTAGCATCAGGAAGCACAACTCGGTACGGCAGGGGGATGGTAAGGTTTCAGTATAAAACACTGACAGCCAGATTTCATTAAAGCCGATTTAGTGAAAACGGGGAGAGATCCACTGTATAGGAAAGGTGGGAGTGGGGAGAGCCGTGCACTTGAGGTGACTGTGTAACGGCGAGTTCACAAGAAATCGGTGTAAAAGGAAACTGGAGTTGCCGTTTCGGCGATATTCAGTTCAATGTACTTGTGATGAGTGAATTGAAGAACTCGGTTCTTATGAATACCCGAGTACTTAAAGCAATGAAATGCAGCAATTTATGAGACATCGTTTGCTTGTGAGACAAAAAACAAAAGTGGGGCAATTGTATTACAGTAAGACCTGAGATGTTGAGCATGGAGGCAAGGTCGAGGCGAAACAAGCTGTGATGATAATGAGATGGACTGATGGACGGAGGCTCTAATTACAGACTAGTCTGGCTTCAGGCTTGCCAAACACCCGCAGCCTCCTGCTCTGAGCTCATTTCCTCGCTCAGTTCCGCAGACCGAAGCACCTGCTCGCTTGAAGAGGGCGATCCCACTCCCCCCCCGTTGTTCCGACAGAACTGCGGAGAGACTGACGAGACGGTGGGCCTGGGGAAGAGCCGGGCGTCCTCCTCGCAATCCACACCACCCGTCTACACCCGCTTTCTTGGTAGAACTGGGCGCGGCACAAGGGCCAAGACCTGGGCCGTTGGGCGTGCGCGGATGTGACTGGAGCGAACCAAGAGGAGGAGGCGGGGAAAGAGAGAGAGAGAGCGCGTACGCGCCTCACCCGCTTACCCGACCCTCCGGTCCCAGCATGCAGCGCGGTGGAGTTTGAATGGCGCTGGCTACGCTGAGTGGGCCCCGGCGCTAGGACTCCTCCGCTGCCCGATCCGGCGGCTTCCATTTGAGGCTGGGTCAGTAGCAGCTACGGTAGCGGCGCTGGACCATGAGCGGCAGCAGGTGAGTCGCCGCCGGGGCCGCGGGACTTCCTTCACTTGTTCTCTGGTGGTGAGGCCAGGCCACTCCATTCACATGGTGCTGTTTCCCTCTCTGCTTCAGTGCCGACCACAGGGTCAGACTATGCTTGAGGACCTAGCTGGGGAGGGGGGAAAGGGAGGGGAATGCTTCTTTCTCGTTCCTTCTCTTTCCTGAGGTGTCCCTGGGTGCGGAGGCCCATTGCCTGCTGTTCCTGTTAGGAGGAGGAGTTCTCATGGGCGGGGATGGAGTTGGCTAGTCTCTACCTGTCTAGTACTTGTTGGGAAGGCTACACCTGTGTCGGAACAGGATAGTATCCCCAGCAAGTACTCTCTGCGAAGTTTTATCTCGAAAACAGTATAGCCTTAAATCAAATATGCCATCCCAGGTATTAAACTTACTCTTGAGATGCAGAAGTACGTGAGATGGTACCAGAAGTTTCCCCCAATGAGTTCTCTGTCTACAAAAACCAGATGAATATGAAATGTTTTTAATAAGAACAAAGTGCTTGCTAAAACAATGTTGTTCAGTATCGTGTGATTATACAAAAAAAAAAGGCTGGTGATGGTTTTGTTTTTCTATAAAAAGAAATGAACACATCAGCGGTATTGAAGGTGTTTCTGAATGCCCCATCTCTGTAAGGGAAGTTAAACCTGCAACAGGTTGTTTACTAACTCTGAAGTTCATTGGCTGCTGTTACTGCTAGAGAAAAACAAAATGTTTGGTTAATTTGGGGCTTTTTGAAGAAATTATTGGATAATTTTTAACAGAAGGTATGTTTGTAAAACCAGATAACAGCTACACTGGATGCATCCAGTAGATTTCAAATTGTTAGCTCAGTGATTTGTGACATGGAGCCATTTAAATCTCAGGAAAATATTTATGTTAATAATGTTTTAAAGTGTAACACAGCATATGAAGTATTTGTATATTGACAAGTGACTTTCCATCTTTCCCATCTTCATTTCCTTATTGCAGTTATACATCTGAATCAGCTGTGTAGCTTTGACATTCTATTCACTTTTTAAAGTTTAGGATTTACATGTTTTTATTCAAATGCAAGCAGTATAGAGCTGTATGAGAATTCTGCAAGCTCTGATATGTAGGTCAAACACAAAACCTTATGAGAGTTACCTTGCTCACTGAGGCCCATCACCCCATTCACCATGTTAGAGGGTGTGAATGAAGGTAATCATTTGGAGTTTTCATCTGATCCTGGTTTTAAGCATGTTGGGCAGGGTGCTGAGTTCAATGGGATGCCATTGTGGTGTAGTGGTATTTGAATGCAGGTTTGTAAATAACTCCAGCTGATCTGTGGAGAATAACAATTGTGCTCTGGGCAGTCAGGTGAGCCCGAGCTCACCCTTTTAAAGAGGTACTTGATCTTCATCATTAGTTGGGAGAAGATAGTCCTACTCCAGATGATAACCTTTGACTGTGTCAGAACTAGCCCCTTGACTTTTTTCTGGGATGCTGTAGTGGCCATTGCAAATCTTTCAGTTCTGGAGCCTCTTCAGTTTAATAATATTGTTATATTCTGAACCTGTTGAAGTTTCTGAACAATTTTCAAGGGCAGCTCTGTAGTACATTAATAATTTTGGCCAGGAAAGATTGTAACTGTTATGCTAGTATAAACTGATGAAAGAGCCTTCATGCCCGAGTGTCCAGAATAATAAACAGATCTAGCAGCATCACCAGAATTCAAATTGTTATTGGGGGGGGGGGGAGCAGTGCTATCAGGAGTATGCCAGCTAACATCTCCTTGTATTGGACCATTGGTCAACAAAATGGCCATCATATCTAGACTGAATTTTGGTTTATTTGTCCTCCTCTGGTCTTTTATCAGCTCCAGGTACTTATTCACTACATCAGCTTGACTCTCCTTGACTTGGGCAGAAAGGAAAAGGGTATCTTGGCATCACTATATCAATGATACTTAAGCTAGTAGTTTCACATAGATATTAAAAATATTTGAAAGAGGGACTCTGTAGAACGCAATTGAAAAAGAATCATGCCATGAAACCATTGTTCTTCAGTACCACCTTCTGGGATCTATTTGTCAGGTGGGCTTGAAAACACTTGATCCAGACGGATAATCCAAAAGAATATTGTGGCTGTTGCTACAGAAACACACCAAGAGATCTAGGGCATTCCCCCAGTCATTCTCACAGTATGAGGCATCCTGTTTCAGGGCCATTCCAGTTGCAAGCCAGATTCAAATAAATTTAGAAGGTTAGGGTCATCCAGTATGTCCTGAAGTTGAGCAGAGCAGCCATCACCACCTTAAAATACCTAGTCCAAACATAAAAGGCTACTGAAATAGTCATAGATATTAAAGCCATCTGGCTCTGAGGAAAGTTTTTAAAGAGGCTGCCAAACAATAGTCTCCTACAAGATGGTCAGAACTCCCTCATGTAATTAGCCATTTATCTCCCCCTGGGCCCACTTCAGTTAAATATTATAAACAGGTAGGGTGCAGATTAAGGCATTATGTTTGGCTGTTTCTCTTCAAGCACTCTGTCGATTCCTCCAGCAGCAGTAACTAAAAATAATCCAAGTAAATGCAACCAGTTTCATTATCCAAGCCGTCTGTCTTGGTTCTGAACTGGTGCTTTGAGGCTATAGTCAGGTGGCTGAGGAAGATAAAGTTGAAACTGAATCCAGGAAGGCTGGTGCTCTAGAGGGACTGAATTCACTTGTCCTAGATGGAGAGACATTGGCTTTTACAGACTAGGTTAAGAGCTTGGAGCAGGCCTGTAGCCAGGATTTCCTTTTTCGGGGGGCATTTAAATTTCTTAGGGGGCCCCAAGTTGATTAAAGTTAAAGCTTCCCCAGCCTGGACCCCTCCCCCCCACTCATTCAGTAATTCCAAAGGGAAGCTTCCCAAAATGCCCTTGGCTGGCTGGCATCAGGTCCGCCTATGGCTTTCTTGGTTGGTGCTCTGCCGGCAGGCAGAGCAGATGCCTTCCCTTTCTTCTACGGAGATGGAGGGTGGCTGAAATCCAGCAGGCATGCTTGAAAAGCAGGCAGTGTCTCCTCTAATGTGGTGGCCACTTTTTTTTTTCTTCCACCGGATTGGCTAGTTGCAAGCCCGGCCTACCAGCATGCAGGGCACCAACCAACCACTGTTCTCTCTTTTACAGGGGCTGGGTGAGGCAGGCAGGTGGCAGGTCAAGGCAGTGGAAGAGTACACTGGTGCGCTCACCCGCTCAGAGAGCTGCCTGCCAGCCAGCCAAAGCGAGCATAGCCGCCTGCCAGCTCGGGACCCACAGCCTCTCTCCCCCAACCACCAGCCTGGGATGGAGTCGGTGTGGCTACTGGCAGGTGGAGAAGTCACTTTGAGCAAGCCCCACTTGGGGAAGGGGCAGCAGGGGAGAGTCCTCCAGGAGGCCCAGAGAGAGTCGGGGGGGCTGGGATGGAGGGAAACTGGTGGGGCCTTGGCAGGAAGTTGGAGGGATGGGCCCTGAAATGCCCCACTGTAGCTACTGACCACCTGGCTTGGACCCTGTCTTGCTGTTTGAAAAGTGGGTTGATAGAGTGGCCAGGAGCACCTTCTGTCATCTGCATCTCTTTCTCCAGCTCTCTCATTCCCAAGACTCAGCCAATCTGGCCATGCTGATTCATGCTGGTGTAATCTCATGGTTGGATTACAGTAACACACTCCACATGGGCTTGCCCTTGAAGAAAACCTGGAAACTACAACTTATCCAGAATGTGGCAGCCTGACTACTGTCAGGGGCTAGCCACTGGGAACATATGTTACCCATTTTGAAACAGCTATATTGGTGCCAGTCTGTTTCTCACTTCAACACAAGCTGTTTGTTATGGCCTTTAAAGCCATTCATGATCTGGAACCTGCATATTCAAAGGACCAACTCCTTCCATATATCCCTGTGCTCCAAGTACATTTGTCAGGCAGCCATCCCTTGGCTATCCCATCACTTAGGGTGGCCAATCTGGCATTGACCAGTGCCCGGTCCTTTTCCATCATGGCTCCTGCTCTGTGGAATGGGCTTCCAGAAGAGGTGAGATGGGCTGCCTCCTTGGAGATCTTCAGGAGTTAAAAGTGAGCCCCCTTGTTTGCCAGGGATTTTCAATGGGTTTGAATGGCAGGCAACTTTGAACTCTTAATTAGTCTTAATAAAGGTGTTCCCTATTGTTGTGTGTCAATTCTAGTTTGGTGCAGGTAATTCCTCACATTCTCCAGGGAGCTCTGGGCAGCACGCATGGGAGTTAGGGCTTTGGTTCCATCAATTTATCCTCGGAACAGCACTGTAATCTGAGAGGTAGTGACTGGTAGTTTTCTTCAGTTAAAATAGGAGGATCACCCAATTTAAATCTTTTTTGCAGCATTCTTGGGTTGACTTCTTGGAGTGTGCAGGGATGGTTCAGTTTAATAGTGGAACTAATTGTCTTAATATATTGTCCCAGTTCATGCTGATTTACCCTGGTTCCTCGATTATTACCTGCTTTTTACTGGGAGGGGAGTACGTAAGAATCCTAGAGAGTCAACTGCGTCACTGACCACACAGACCTCTAAATAAAGTAGAATTGAAGATTTTTCTGATTCCGCCTAAGCATCCTGAATTTAAAGTTACTATCTCAAGTAGGTTGTCTCTTCTGGATGTAGCCTGTCAAGTAGAGACATCCTTGGCTGATAGTGCTCCCAATATCATTAAACAAGGCCTAGGGAGGTGGTCAGTCTTAGATGAGATAGTCTCTGATGTGGTCACATAACTCTTTTTTTTACAGAATACTGGGAATTATTTTCGATCAGTTGAATACTGTCCTCACTTAAACTGGATTAACTGTAGCGGTTCTTTACCAGAGAAGACATTAATAAGATCCCAGACTCCTGTTGGCTCCCTTATTGAACAGCAGTATCAAGAGTTTCTGGTACTACAACCTCATCAGATTTTGTCTGAATGTTTTATTGGATGGTAGGATCCCTTTTTGGAACTCCAAATAGGTATAGTATAGTTTTT